TCTATTAGTTCAGCCTTATAACAACACTGCGAGGAATTCAATGAATATGTCTTTTCTGCAGCAGAGGCTCAGAGAGGTTGAGACTTTCCCAAAGTTACAGGCCTAGTAACTGGCATGTCTACAGCTTGAAAGTAGACCTAATTTGATTCAAAGTCCATGTTATAATCTAAGACAGCAGTAAGGAGACCCCAGAGCCCGAGCAGCAGGTATAGGGGCTCTTCCAGGATTGGTGGATAGTTGGGGCATAGTGAACAGGAGAAGAGAAGGAGCTAGACTATATTTAATCGACCATTTTTGAAGATGTAAGAGATGATAGACATAGTTCTTGCCTTCAGAAGTGTGTATTCTATTTGACCAGATGTGTGATGCATGTGAGGAGGTATCCCATAGACTGGGCTACTATGATACAAATCTAAAGGAGTGAAAAATATGGAAGTCTGGATATAGCTGTAAAGATGTAACATGTATCGGCATTTAAGGAGCCCTGGTGGCCTATTGGTTACACTTTGGGCCGCTATCTGCAAGGGTCAGTTTGAAGAAAGATGGGCTTTCTGTCCCCATTAACAGCTACAGTCCTGGAAACCCTCAGAAGCAGTTGTAGCTTGTCCTATAAGGTCACTGTGAGTCGGCATCACTCGATGGCAGGGAGTTTGGTTTTGAGATCAGAATTTTAACACGTATATGTACATGTTCATTTGTGGCAATTATGCAACAAATACACGATTAAAAAAATTGTTAGTGACAGGGAAATTCTCATGATATATTACAAATAGACACAACGTATGTTACAATATTGGACAGTATGACCTCAATTATGTTTTAAAATTTATTTTAAACTGATAAGAAATACACTAATTGACTGGGAATAAGAATTCTTGATATTTTAAGTGTGACAAGCAAGTTTCTGAACCATTTATTTAGGTGAATCAGATTTTTGAAAAGACAAAGGAATCAGTGCTTGTTGTCTGACTACACCAAAAATGAAAAATGTTTAAAAAGATGCACATGAAGTGTTAATGGCTTAGTGAATTAGGTACAAACAAATGGAAGATTAAGGGAAATTTGTACATTAAAACCACATGAGAGACATCACCCCCCGCAAAATATAAAATACCTAAATTTGGATACATATGCAAATAAATTAACTGTATGAGTTTGTGACTGTGGGAATAAGAGAGAGAATTACCTGGCCAAATACGAGCACAAACTGGAAATTTGATGAAACAAGGGAATATTTGTTTATTAATATTTCAGTGCTTATGTTTCTAAAAAAGAGAATCCTCTTAAAGAAGTGACGATTATATCATGTTTCAGATTTGCTTCAAAATAATCCAAGAGGGACGAAGGTGGAAATATAAATTAGTGCATTACTTGTCATTGAATAATGGGGTCACTGAAGTACATCATATCCTTTTCTCTACTTTGTATATATTTGAAATTTTCCATCTCAAAGAAAATGTTAGTGGCGTCCTCCCAGGGTTGGAGATTCTGAGTGATTTTTCTTTTTAAAATAGTCCCTCTACATCTTACATTTCTATAATGGAGACATGTTATTTTATCAGCAAGAGAAAGATCACGTGGCTATTTGTTTGTTTGTTGTTTGTTCCTTGAATGGCTGCCCAAATTGAGAGAGAGCGGAGAGTGTCTCAAAGGAGGGAGCACGGAAGGGCCCTGGAGCTGGGGAAGGGTTGTGGTACCATGAAATGAGGGCGAGGTGGTAGCTTGGGAAGCCAAATGGAGACTCCCTTGTCTTTTCAGAGGCTGAGAACAGCTGCAGGCTGAGGCCTGGGGTGGGGGGAACTGGCTCTCGCCTGGGCTCAGAGCTTAGGGCAACAGCTGTTGGGATCAGAAGCCAAAAGAATAACCTGGAGCGGAATGGTGGGAAGAGGAAAAACACCTGGCAGGGATAGACTTGAGGATGCTTCAGAATTGGTCCTGATGGTTGTCTAGGCAGTGTGACTCAGTGCTTGCTTGAACTTGAACCAGGTTTGCTGAAGAACACAATACTTAGCCCTGCTCTGAACCTGATGTGCCCAACCAGACTGGGCTGAACAGCACTGGGCAGATGAAGAGGAGAGAGTAGGCTGGAGAAGCAGGGGTGAATTTATCCCCTTATGCCTATTTACTCATCCTACTGACAGTAAAGGGAAAAACTCCCTGTCATTCTGTTGATTCCAAGATTGGTGAGCATTCCAGCGCCTGGAATGCTCTTCCTCTTTGGCTCACCTTGTTCATCCTGACTCACCCTCCAGCTCTCAGTACATTCCCTTCCCTCCTGGTTACCCTGTCTGTTCCCTAACTAGTTCAAATACCTAGTACATGTTCTCACCATTAGGTACCATTCTTTGAAGCACTCTTGTGATTATCTGATTAATATTTGTGTTCTTTGATGCATCGAAAACTACTTGAGGGCAGGGGACATTTTTGTTATGTATTCTGTACGCCTGTTAGCTGTCTGTTACATTGATAGCTGTAGGGAAGTTGCTGCACTGGGCCCCTGACATGTTACTTGATCTTGGACACTCTGAGACTACACTAGATTGTCTAGCCTATCTCCTTTGAGGTAACTGAGCAATAGTTCCTGAGCCTTTTTCTCCATCTCTTCAAGTATGACCACATGGATGCCAGCTCATTAAGCCTCTCATTGGAGAAAAAAGGCACTGGAGCCAGAGGGTACATGAGAGGCTTCAGATTTATCAGTGATTTTTGCTTTACAGCCAGTGTATGGCCTGGGCTGGGGCTGGGTAAAGGGAAGACAAGTTCCCCCACTTTTCTTATTGTCTTTCAGGTCACACTTAAATTGCACCTCCCCCAAGAAGGCTTCCCTGGACCTTCTCTTCTCTACTTGAATGAATTAAACTCACACTACCCTCTTTCTTAGCGTTTATTGTGATTTGTAACTCAAAAAACAAACAAGCAAAGCCCACCAAACTCACTTCCAACAGGCCAATGTTGGCTCATAGAACTCACTAGAACGGCTCCTGTTTCCAAGACTGCAGCTCTTTACAGGTGTAGCAAGCCTTGTCTTTCTCCTGAGGAGCTGGCTGGTGGTTTCTGACTATTGACCTTGTGGTTAGCAGGCCAATGCACAACCACTACACCACCAGGGAGGGCTCCTGGGCATTTAAAAATTGTGCCGAGTTGGCTCAGGGAAGCCCATGAGTTCAGGGATTGAGGTGTTGTTTCTTAAAGCCCAGTGTCTAGCATAGAACCTGGCTGATTGTAGATGCTTAATAAATGGTTGTTGAGTGAATGAGTACAGATATGAATGGCTTTATAGATAATCTATGGATGTCTGGGAAGGTGAGCAGGGTGACTTCATAGGTAACCTATGGATGTCTGGGAAGGTGAGCAGGGGAAGAGGGGAAAGCTGAGGTAAAGGGGGGTGCAGGCAAAGACAGTCAAGCCCTCTTGTTTCATGCCTTCTAGGGGCTTTCTAGGAAGTGTTTTGTTATCCTGATATGAACAATAGAACTAACTGTGCATGCCCAAGAGTCTCCAGTGTGTACCAAGGACTCCCTGTTCTTGGGGCACTAAGGGCTTGGTTGTTGGAGGGGAGGGACCAAAGAAGACACTCAGAAGTTCAGCATCTGAGGAAATGTGGACCAACCAGCCAAGGAGGAGGAAGGGGAAGATAGTCCAAACCCCTGGCCCGCCTCTTTCCTGGAACTCCTAGGAGTCCCCCAGGCTCCGGACTGCTCACTGGGAGGCCTGGCCAGAAGCCCACCCCATTCCCATCAAACCAAGAGAAGGTCTTTCCAGCTAAAGCTTCCCTCCCCCCAGGGGGTTCTGTCTCAGCAGGAACTCATATTGGATTGAAATGAGCAGCTGGGGCAGCCAGGAAGGGAGGCTGTGAGGCTGTGCGGCAGTAATCAAAGGCTCAGTGTGAGGGGCCAGAGGAGGGAGAGAGCATGCGGGCACTTGTGTATGCTGTCTGTCCCACAAATACAAAGAAATGAGAGGCAGCGATGGGGGCAGAGAGTGAAAGACAGGAAGGGAGAGACAGAGAAACAGAAGGAGATTCAAGGGCAGGGAAAGACAGAGAGAGATGCACGTAGAAAAAGACACTGAGAGATGAAAGCTGAGAACGGAGAGAAAAGCAGCAGTAGCGAAATGAAGAAGTCAAGAGGCTAGAAGTGGGAGAACACAGGCTATGGATGCGAGAAAAAGAACTAAGTTAGAGAGGCTGAGCGAGAAGAGGGGAAGCAGAGACTGAGACGAAGGAAGACTCACATTCATTCATCCGGTCCACATTTACTGAGCACCTGAGCCACCCAGGTGCTGTGAATGGCACGCTCAGTGCAGGCAGACACAAGCGGTAGGAATGGAGATGGAGCCATAAGCAAAGACACTGAGATAGAGACCAAGAGAGGGAGAGGCAACCATGCCGAGTGAGATAGAGACCCAGGAAGAATGCAAGGACACGGAGACAAAAGGCCTGCAGACAGGGAGGGCAGGACTCTTGGGGTCCAGTGGGCAATGGGAGAGAGAGAGAGAGAGATCCCTTCTCAGCTCCGCCTCCAGTTTTGCTGTCTCCAAGTTCCCCACAGCTGCCCCCTCCCCCTCCCTTCTGCCTCCCCTCTTCTTTCCAGCCTCTGGCAGCCCCCTCCAGCTCCTCTGCCTGAGCCCAAGTCAGGATGGAGCAGGATGGAGCCCTGAAGAGACCGGCCTGGGTAACCAAGGAGATTAAAAGAGTCCCTTCTCCACCGGAGGCCAGCTTAAAATCACACCTGGATCCCACCAAGCTCCCAGGAGATACGCAAATATGTGTGTAGGAAGCGGGGGATAAGTGTGTCATTCCAGTTTCCAAAATGGGTAGGTTCTTCTTCCTTCAGAGGTCTGTATCCCAGCCCCCAATACACCAAGCCCTCCCTGATATCTTGAGCTGAGAGGCAGCCATTTGTAGCAAATGCAGAGCCCTCCCCCACCCCATCTCCTCCCACTTCATCACTGAGAAAATGCCGCAGAGAAGAGGGTGGGCCGGAGAATCAGTCACCTACCCGCTGGTGCCGGGTCTCTGGGCCTGCGAGAAACGCCAGTCCGTGTTGGGAGGAGCTTGCTGTGGAGAAAACAGAAGGAAAAGAGCTGAGTACCCATGAGGAGTCACAATGTCACCCACCGGAGTCCCTGGAGATGGGCCAGGAGGGAAGGAGAGAGTGGGGCACTGAGAAGCTGCAAGAGGAGGACATAAGTGGGTGTGGGGTCGGGGGGCAGACACATCTCTAAAGATAAAATACACCCTGGGGCTCAGAGGCCTGAGGTACTGAAGACAAAGGGATATAATGGCATTTCATCTGACCACAGTGAGCAAGCCCTGATTAACGGTCCCTTTCTCCCTGCACCCCCCATCTAGAACATTTGAGTAGAGATTCAAGAGTGTGTGGGCGGGGGGTTGCAGAGAAGCTCCCCCCCACCCCAAAATGACAGAAGACTCTTTGAGGGGAGAACTCCAACCCTAGGATGAATTTGTTCAGCTCCTCAGCTGGGAACAAGGCACCCTCTGCAGCCAAATGGTTGCTGCTCTGGGTAACCCTTTTGGTGCCAGGCTGTGCAGTAACACGCTCAGAGGGCCATCCCCTCCAGGCCCTTGACCCTTAAGGATCCCTTCCCACAGCTACAAACATTAATTTAGGAGTCCTGCCAGACTGAGTCTTTGCAGGGCATCCAAGCCCCAGGACACCTCTCACCCACAGAACTCGGTGCCAGACAATGGCCTTTGACTAAGGACCAGAGAACAAGGCTGCTCTGTCTGGGACAGAGAAAACGGTTGGGCTGAAGCCCAGCGGAGATCAAGCTCCCACAGACTCTACGCAGAGCCAAGGCAGTCTCCAGGGCTCCCAAGGGGCTGATCCTAAGCTATGTTCCACCTGGCTAAAGGCATGGGGCTCCGTGGCCAGCCACTCTCCCCTCTCCCCCATCCAGTGCTGCTGTCTTTCCAGAGGGTGTGTTCTTCCACCACACACTCTCCGGGAGGAGCACTCCTAGAGTCCAGGAGGAGCATCTCACTAGTTCTGGGATGTGTTGGTAATTAATTCTCACACTTAACTCCCAAGGAGCAGTGGAGGGAAACGTGAGCCTCCCTGATGACACCAGGGAGAAGACAGGCCCAGGGCCGCCAAATGGATCACCCTAAGGCTTACAGGTTACCATGATGGGGGCAGAACCCAGAGGCTCAGAGGCCACCACTCAAGGGCTATTGCGGATGACCAGCCCTCAGCCACACTGTATTCTTAGACACAGCAAAAGTGACGTAGAGATGCAAGGATCATGAGTGAGTCGGGGAGAAGAGCTGGGCAAAACTCACAACCTCCCGAAGGATGGCAGGTCCAATTTTATTCAGTGAGGGCTGTTCTGAGGAGTCTCAGAAGGGGCCCACAAGAGAAAGAACCCATCCTGGCCTCATCCTAATAGACTTGAGTCTGTCCCTCCTGTCGTTCAGTTTTACAAGTTCCAAGTGCCAAGTTATTCTGGAGTTGACTCTTTCTCAGTCACTCTTTCAACTCGAGCCAGTCACTCGGGCTCTGTGAAACGGAGTTATGGGGATACTAATCCCTGTTCAACCACATGCCTGGGAAGAGCCCGAGGAGCTGTGGTTCTCCAAGATGTGTAGTGAGGTGTCTCTCAACCAGCTAACTGAATCACCTGATTTACTCAGGGAGTACAGATATCCCGAAGCTCTCCGGGTCGTGGCAACGTATGCCCCACGTCCAGGGCCCTCCCTGCCCGCCACCTTGTAGAGGCTGTGACTTTCCATCCGCCAGAGGAAGAAGGACGTTTGGGCTCTCTCTTTGCTCACCGCCCAAACCGCCGAATACTTGGTGGTCACGACGGAGCCAACAGCCTATGGGTGCGTCCACAGCCTGGACGGGGTGCGTCCACAGCCTGGACGGCCCGACCCCCACTTCTCGTGGGAAGAAGAGTGCCGCTGGTGCCTCGAGGGTGCCCAGTGCCAAAAGAGGCTTTCCCACTCGCCCCAGGCCCGGCCCCG